GAAAACTTAATACCAGGTGAATGCTCGAATCGTCTCTAATGATACTTTTTTCTGCTTTTAGATGGTCGATGACTGCCTTATGAATTGAATTTATTAAATCAAACCTTGGCGTTGATGTTCTTTTTTTTTAAATCAAATGCTCAATTAAAAGGGTTCATTTTGACAGGCAAATAGTACCGTTCTACCAAAGAAGGCGAAATGACCGTATAGCGGAAAACCATATATCAACTGGCAGGTGAAAGGCACAAGTCTTCATCATCCTTCTTGCCCCTAGAAGGGGAAATAGAACCTTATTTTTATTTGAAGGCCTTTATTTGTATTCACATCCAATTGGGAAAATTTGGTGATGTGCATTCCCAAACTAAGCATTATTGGTAAGCAACATTACACATGATTACACATCACTGTGCCCAGTCAACTTCTTTTTTTCATAAAAGGCATTCACTGGAGATTTACTACAATTGCCTACAGCTGAACCAGCTTTAAATGAGAGACAACCCCCACTTTCGGAACGACTGTTGTCCATATAGGAAAACCTTTCATTGTATTTGAAGTCAATTACAACTTTTCTTGATCAACATTCTCCCCTCGTCTAGTTTAGTTACTTCCTTTCATTGCCCTTTCAGGTACAGAAGCTCCTTAATTTTCTCATTGGCTTTCTACAGTTGGGGGACTTTAGTAATTGAATTTTAGGATTCCACTAAGCTTCCCAGTCCCCCATAAACAAAAAAATTCCCTAGGAAGTAACATCCCCTATCTCTCCACTGTTAGTATCTCATGACTTTCTTCGCTAACTGGATATTTGCTAACACTCATGAATGCACACCCATAATAAGACACTAATTGTATCAACCGTTCCTCTACATGTATCTAAAACCATCCGGCTCGTAGCCATACAGGATCCAACCGAGGATGCCCAATTCAGATGGAATTGAACAAGACCTCTGATTTTAGAAAGCAACTTCACCATGGTAGAAAACCCTTTGGCTTCTTTTCTATTACTTTTCTGATATAAGCCCTTGTTAGAAATTTGATGAATGAAATGAACCTCAATGAGAACTTAATTAATCCGCAGATGATAAATTGAAGCTTAACCAATATCATCTCTAAAAAAGGAAGAATTGTAAATAAATATGCATTTTTAAGAAAATCTTCCTTCAAACAAAATTTTTGATCAATTACAATAATTAAAAGTTTAAATACTATATAGTTAGATTGTCTTATATTGTTAAAGTCTGTTTGCACTGCGAAATCTTTTAAAAAGTCTTTTAACAAAAGGCTTCTTTTTCACTTCCATTTTGCCAATGTTTCCTGCATCCCTTGTATTCTTTCGATCATTGATCCAACCTCTTCACTGCCCCAATTAAGCTCTGGGGTACAAAGCAAATCTGTGCAATGTTTTTAAGCCTCGCTGCCATGTTTTCAGACCTCATGTCTTGAATGTCAACTCATACCTCATTTGCTTGTTTTCACGGAGCTGCCACTTCAAAGTCTGGTCCTTCTCCTTCAGGCTGACAAGAAGGCATCTTTTTCTTGATTGTGACTTCGATTTGCTCCGTAGCATTTGCCAATGATTCAGTAGTCTCGTTAAGACATGATTCAAGCTCGTTTGCCTCTTTTCTGTAGTTTTCGCCCTTGTAGTGGCTTCTTGAATTTCGTCAGCCATTTCTCTAAACTTTGATTCAGCTGTGGCTGCCATGTTTTGTGCATTGCCTGCAGCTCGGTAACTATTTCTCAGCCATTTTTTTCTGCACTAAGATTCATTTTCTGACCTGAGTGAGATATTTTTGTTTTCCAGATTAAAATTTGAGCCTTTTCTCTGCTTCCTGATGACGTTCTTTACAGTAATTTCCAGCCACTTCTTTTGTCACTTTGTTGTGTTGGCTTCCTTCATTTCATGCTTGAGCTCCATATTTCAGACCTTTTTGACTGCATCAACAACTCCATCTGCTCGATCGTTGCCTCCTGCTTCTCCTTCTTCTTGACACGTTGTCAGTCAACTCCTTTTTTGACGTTATCGAATTTCCTTACTTTCCTACTGGCTCGCGTTGTACCACTAACATCAGCCATGTTTGTATGATAAGTAAGGTAAACTTCGTCAACGTCCCTATTATTGCAAGTTATTAGAAAAATTTATCTAGGTTAAGAAAAATCATATCCAAATTAATTTCGTCTAAAAGATTCCTTGGAAATCGTTTATCGATGCAGCAGATATGAAACATTAAGCTCTATAGGAACATGGAAAATCAATCAAAGTTTTTGGTATCATTTACTTATAAGAAACTGTATTTGTAAACCATGCTGACCTCCATTTTGCACTGATCCTTCTCTAACTTGAATGCTCTCTCTCGCTCATTAGATTTTCTGGAATAAAAAAAGGAACTCATATAATTTTTTGTTGTCGATGCTCGACAGAAAACGTTTACTTGCAGTTGAGGTTTCACATTAAGGCAAAGACACTTAGGATAAAAATGTATCTTGATCCTCGTTCAGTACTTTCAAAATTATTTCGTAAAAAGCAAAAAGATATTAAACTTAATAAAGAATCGACAATTTGCACTCACTTCACCAAAACTCCGTTCAGTTCTTTTAGCTGGCTTGCTTCTTTCTTCGAATTCTCCAGTTCGCTCATTAGCTCCTTCACCAAAGTCGAGTCACCACCGGCCTTTTTCTCTTCACTTTTCAACGACATGTTGATCATAATCCGATGTTAGTAACGCACAAATCACCAACAACAGCTCACGTAGATACACGTAGATCTTTTGTACAAACTATATTCACAACTTGTAGAAGATTGCTGAAGAACACCGCTTAGATAACGATACTCTTCGCCAAGTAATCTCTTGCTGTACGCATCCCCTTTTATAGCAATCAAAACCGTTTGTGACGTCAGATTGATTGTATACGTGATATCTTACCTTTAGTTGTTGGTCTTAAAAACGAATGTGATGTCAAATTCATTAAGGACCTGATTGATGAAGACATTAAGTGCCTAAGGATTTAATCTTAGCAAAGACCAGTCTAGTGTCTTTTAACTCTAGCCTTGTTTTTCTCTTTTCCTTTCAGTCAATCTTCCCTGTTCTCAATTTCCTTGAATCCAATGCTCTCTTACTGACATTCCCCTCAGATTCAATTTATCTTTCTGCCTTTACTTTTTATTGCTACCGTCCTATGTTCCCTCCTTTTTTCATTCCCTTTTTTCTTTCCCCTATAAATGGGAATCACATTTTACCTCTCGTTAAAGAGCCTTTTTGCTTGAGCTATTAAAGTCTATTAAAGTCTTAGAGATTAGTTCAATTTGCAAAAGCTACCGAATGCACTCCTTCAAACTTTTTCTTATTTGCTTCAATTTTGAAAACCCTATTGATGCTGTTGTCCAAAAGTTTGTTTTTTCCTTTCAGTGAAGGCAGGTCAAAGCACAAGTCTTCATCATCTTCTGACCCAAAAAGAAAATAAAGCCCTGTCTTATAAAGCCTCCATGTGAGTGACGTTCAACAGAGTGGTTTGCATTGGCATGCCTAGCTATGAATATAGGTAAGCAGAAACTGTTCACATATTGCTGTGCATCAACTGCTCTTTCATAAATGCATTCACGAAGATTTATGCAATGCTTGCAGCGAAATAGTTACATGATATCAAATCACATTGGATTCCGTTTGACAAAAATCTTTACTCCTCTTCTTATCATGTTGAATCTATCAGCACCTTTGAAAATCCTCCCCATAAATAATCTATACTTTGCAACAGGAACAAGACATTTGTTGTCGTTTGTATGATTTACAAAATATGTTTTCAGAAGTTATGAGAATTGTTTTCGAAAGTAGAAGGAGAAGGATTGGAAACACCACTAAGCTTGAATTTAATATTATTCAAGGCGAAGGTGGCATTGAAGAAAAATAAGTTCCATTTCAAGTCCTCTGCTTTTAAAACGCAACAAAATCTTTGAAGTTTGCTTTGTAGAATGAGGTTCTTGTATAAAAACGTTTCTTAGACATTCATTAGGAATTTTCTTCATCTAGCCCCCACACACATCTCTCTGCCTTTATAAACAGACACCCTATCTGAAGCGTTGTTATGATCTTTTCCAAAGGAGTTTTGGAAGAATAAATATACTTGATTGTTAGAAATTAATACTGAAAGGACCTCAAACGAAACTGAATTTAATCACAATAGTGAATGCAGCTTAGCAATATCCACACTGAGCCCGAATGAGAGAGACATTAAAATATACAAAACAATTTTGAAGAAAATCTTCTTTCCAAACGAAATTTTTTAATCAATTACAATTCTTAGAAAAAAGTTTAAATACTATATGGGTGTTAACGTTGTCTTATATTTGTTAAAGTCTGTTTGCACTGCGAAATCTTTTAAAAAGTCTTTTAACAAAAGGCTTCTTTTTCACTTCCACTTTTGCCAATGTTTCCTGCATCCCTTGTATTCTTTCGATCATTTGATCCAACCTCTCCTCACTGTCCCCATTAAGCTCTGGGGTATCAAAGCAAATTTGTGCAATGTTTTTAAGCCTCGCTGCCATGTTTTCGATCCTCATGTCTTGAATGTCAATCTCATACCTCATTTGCTTGTTTTCACGGAGCTGCCACTTCAATGTCTGGTCCTTCTCCTTCAGGCTGACAAGAAGGGCATCTTTTTCTTGTATTGTGATTTCGATTTGCTCCGTAGCATTTGCCAATGATTCAGTAGTCTCGTTAAGACATGATTCAAGCTCGTTTGCCCTCTTTTCTGTAGTTTTCGCCCTCGTAGTGGCTTCTTGAATTTCGTCAGCCATTTCTCTAATCTTTGATTCAGCTGTGGCTGCCATGTTTTGTGCATTGTCCTGCAGCTCGGTAACTAATTTCTCCAGCCATTTTGTTTTCTGCACCAAAGATTCATTTTCTGACCTGAGTGAGATATTTTTGTTTTCCAGATTGAAAATTTGAGCCTTGTCTCCTGCTTCCCTGATGACGTTCTTTACAGTAATTTCAGCCACTTCTTTTGTCACTTTGGTGTTGGCTTCCTTCATTTCATGCTTGAGCTCCCATATTCTCAGACCCTTTTTGACTGCATCAACCTCCATCTGCTCGATCGTTGCCTCCTGGTTAGAAATGATCGATGCTTGTCGAGCAATGCATGTCTTGTCTTTTTGCATTTTGTTTTTAAGCTCTTCTATCTCATGTTTGAGATCCAAAATTTCGTCTTCTTTCTTGGAAAGGTTATTTTCTTGCTCTTCAAGACGACCTTCAAGTAGAGAATTTTCACTGAGAAGTTTGATGTTTTCGCTTTTCAATTCCAGCATTGCCTCTTTGATTTCTTTGTTTTCGGTTTTCTTGCTTTCAAAGGCAACTTTTATTTCTTGTAAACTTTTCTTCATTTCTTCTAAATGCTTCTCCTTCTCTTGAAAATTGTCAGTCAACTCCTTTTTCTGACGTTTCAATTTCTTGACTTTCTCTGGCTCGCGTTGTACCAACTCATCCGCCATGTCTTGTTGATAGTTTAGTACTTCCGTCAAGCCACTCATTTGCATTTTAAGATCATTTATCTAGGGTTAGAAAATATATCCAAAATTATTTTTCGTCTAAAAGATTCCTTGGAAATCGTTTATCGATGCAGCAGATATGAAACATTAAGCTCTATAGGAACATGGAGTATCAATCAAAGTTTTTGGTATCATTTACTTATAAGAAACTGTATTTGTAAACCATGCTGACCTCCATTTTGCACTGATCCTTCTCTAACTTGAATGCTCTCTCTCGCTCATTAGATTTTCTGGAATAAAAAAAGGAACTCATATAATTTTTTGTTGTCGATGCTCGACAGAAAATGTTTACTTGCAGTTGAGGTTTCACATTAAGGCAAAGACACTTAGGATAAAAATGTATCTTGATCCTCGTTCAGTACTTTCAAAATTATTTCGTAAAAAGCAAAAAGATATTAAACTTTATGAAGAATCGACAATTTGCACTCACTTCACCAAAACTCCGTTCAGTTCTTTTAGCTTGCTCGCTTCTTTCTTCGAATTCTCCAGTTCGCTCATTAGCTCCTTCACCAAAGTCGAGTCACCACCGGCCTTTTTCTCCTCACTTTTCAACGACATGTTGATCATAATCCGATGTAAGTAACGCACAAATCACCAACAACAGCTTACGTAGATACACGTAGATCTCTTGTACAAACTATATTCACAACTTGTAGAAGATTGCTGAAGAACACCGCTTAGATAACGAAACTCTTCGCCAAGTAATCTCTTGCTGTACGCATCCCCTTTTATAGCAATCAAAACCGTTTGTGACGTCAGATTGATTGTATACGTGATATCATACCTTTAAGTGTTGGTCTTAAAAACGAATGTGATGTCAAATTCATTAAGGACCTGATTGATGAAGACATTAAGTGCCTAAGGATTTAATCTTAGCAAAGACCAGTCTAGTGTCTTTTAATTCTACTCTAGCCTTGTTTTTCTCTTTTCCTTTCAGTCAATCTTCCCTGTTCTCAATTTCCTTGAATCCAATGCTCTCTTACTGACATTCCCCTCAGATTCAATTTATCTTTCTGCCTTTACTTTTTATTGCTACCGTCCTATGTTCCCTCCTTTTTTCATTCCCTTTTTTCTTTCCCCTATAAATGGGAATCACATTTTACCTCTCGTTAAAGAGCCTTTTTGCTTGAGCTATTAAAGTCTATTAAAGTCTTAGAGATTAGTTCAATTTGCAAAAGCTACCGAATGCACTCCTTCAAACTTTTTCTTATTTGCTTCAATTTTGAAAAGTACCCCAGAGCTTGAATTGGGGCAGTGAAGAGAGGCTGGATCAAATGATCGAAAGAATACAAGGGATGCAGGAAACATTGGCAAAAGTGGAAGTGAAAAAGAAGCCTTTTGTAAAAGACTTTTTAAAAGATTTCGCAGTGCAAACAGACTTTAACAAATATAAGACAACGTTAACACCCATATTATTTAAACTTTTTCTAAGAATTGTAATTGATAAAAAATTTGTTTGGAAAAGAAGATTTTCTTAAAATTTTTTGTATATTTTGTCTCTCTCTTCGGGCTCAGTGTGGATATTGCTAAGCTGCATTCACTATTGTGATTAAATTCAGTTTCGTTTGAGGTCATTTCAGTATTAATTTCTAACAATCAAGTATTATTCTTCCAAAACTCCTTTGGAAAAGATCATAACAACGCTTCAGATAGGGTTGTCTGTTTAAAAGGCAGAGAGATGTGTGTGGGGGCTAGATGAAGAAAATTCCTAATGAATGTCTAAGAAGTTTTTATACAAGAACCTCATTCTACAAAGCAAACTTCAAAGATTTTGTTGCGTTTTAAAAGCAGAGGACTTGAAATGGAACTATATTTTCTTCAATGCCACCTTCGCCTTGAATAATATTAAATTCAAGCTTAGTGGTGTTTCCAATCTTCTCCTTCTACTTTCGAAAACAATTCTCATAACTTCTGAAAACATATTTTGTAAATCATACAAACGACAACAAATGTCTGTTCCTGTTGCAAAGTATAGATTATTTATGGGGAGGATTTTCAAAGGTGCTGATAGATTCAACATGATAAGAAGAGGAGTAAAGATTTTGTTCAAACGGAATCCAATGTGATTTGATATCATGTAACTATTTCGCTGCAAGCATTGCATAAATCTTCGTGAATGCATTTATGAAAGAGCAGTTGATGCACAGCAATATGTGAACAGTTTCTGCTTACCTATATTCATAGCTAGGCATGCCAATGCAAACCACTCTGTTGAACGTCACTCACATGGAGGCTTTATAAGACAGGGCTTTTATTTCTTTTTGGGTCAGAAGATGATGAAGACTTGTGCTTTGACCTGCCCTTCACTGAAAGGAAAAACAAACTTTTGGACAACAGCATCAATAGGG